CTCCCTCCCCGCTGTGCCTCTTGAGAGAGAAACTCAGCCTGATTGTCTACCTGGTCAAGATCCTCCATGGAAAGGTGGAGGGGAATGGGCACCCCCCCCCCACTGCACTCCCTCAAGGAATCTGGTGACCTAGGGGGAGAATCCTGCCTAGAAAGACCCCCTAAGGGTGACCTGGACCTGGAGGGGGAGGGACTGATCCTGCCCTGCAGAGCCCTCAAACTCTCTGCCCTGGAAAAAGTTATCACTAAAGTCCTGTGCCTCCTAGCTTCGTCCCTTTGGCTGGCACGGGAAGGGCGAGTGTCAGCCGAGGCTTTAAGCCTCCTGGAAGAAGCAATGGGACGCTGCCTGGGGGGAGGGGATCTCTCTGCCATCACACAGCTACTTACAACCACTCCTCGTGTTTCCTGTGGTTCACTCCTCACCTCCACCTCCGCAGCCAGAAGGATATAGGTCCTTACTCCCTTTGCTGCATGCCCCAATCTTTTAAGCGCTGCAAGGGCGCGTTTCGGGGTTGCCGCGGCTTCTTAGGGAGACTGCTGCTGCCGCGTGCCTTCCTGGCCGCTCCTGGGGCTTCCACAGCCTTCGCGCTCTTCTGCGCCCTCTTTTAATCCCGCTGCAGCAAGGCGCGCTCTGTACTAGGCTTCTGGCTGTCGGGCTGTAAACCAGAGACCTTTAGCCCGCACCAGCTCCAATCTGCCCTCTCAAGGCTCCACGTGGTCGCCGGCCAAAATGGCCAATGGGACAGTGACCCAGCCACCGGAGTCTCCAAGCCTTGAGATTTAACCCTCGGGTAGCTGGAAAAACCGCAGCTATCAGCAGGGACTTACTGGGAGGTGAAGGAAGGTCTCCTTGTGAGAAGGAAGCAAGCTGAGTCGAGGATGGTCCAGAAAAGATAAAGTCGAGGATGGTCCAGAAAAGATAAATCAGATCAGGAGTCAATAAATTTCAACCTCTCTTTGGCCAGAAATCCAGAAACTGGAGTCAGAGGAGAGGAACCCAGAGGCGTGGCTTCAGCTTCAACCCAGTCTAGAGGCCAATTGGCTGTGATAATACCATCACTGGACCATCCTGCAAACCCATTCTGGAAAATATTACAATGGGAATAAAGTTTCAAACATCCTACCTTCAATGCCAATGCCTAACTCCAACTCCACTTGCATTCTGTGTCTGTCTTTGCTGTGTAATAAACCATGGTGGCTACAATTACAGATACATCATCATGTCTTTATTGGCCCTTAGCTATTTACTACAGCAGTTCAGCTTGAACTGCTTGTCTATCCCACAGCACATTACATTTACACAAGACAGCAATTTTAATAGAAGAAAATTCATATCTCCCTAAAATTGCACAGGGGATAAGAGATACTTTGTCCTGCAAAAAGAGACCAGGTAGGATTCAATGAATCACTTAATAAAATATTCTGAGCAAGCAACCTACCCTGTTCCTGCAGCTCTGTCTCATCTGATCTGCTCTCTAAACTTTGCTATCATCTTTGGAGGCCTCTTCTGCACTTCTTCCAGTCTGTCAACATCCTTTCAATCATGGATGGGGAAGAGCTGTGATATTTTATCCGAGGCGTCTGTTAATGCATACATACAAAATTTTCAATTAATGGCAACAAAACTTTCTGAAATAGTGGATTTCCACAAAGATCCCCATCTTTCCTATTTCCCCTTCTGCGTCAATTGCTTAAGCAGCAGCAGCAGCAGCAGTTTCAGTTCATATACTTCTGGTGACATCATAGACTATAGTTTGCCAAGAATTCAGTGGAGGAAAAATGGACAAAGTCAATAACATACATGCTATATGTGGTAAAGAAGTCGCAAAGAAAAATAAATTCTCTGAGAAATAATGCAGGGAGAAACGATTGGTCTTTATGCTACTTCTTTATCAGCAATGTGGTTTTGCGATGGCTTTCCTCATCTTCGTCATCCTCCCCTCCCCTCCAACAATTCATGTGATTTTTTTTTAAGGAGATCTGGTCAGAATATTTGCTGTTACTTAATTGTGACAACTCTGGATGGCTTATTGTGCTAACTTGGCAATGAAAATTTTTCCCAAATGATCAAACTTTTTATGAGAAATTAAATCTAAAGAAATATTGAAAAAGATACAGAATTTTATTGACCAAAGTATAGAGGATATAACTTCTTAATGCTTCATTTCTTAAACTTCTGATAGTTCAGTATCAGAAGGCACACTAAACCATTAAAGGGCAGCAACCAAGACTTAATACTATTGGTTACTTTCCAAATATCACCATATGATTTACTTTTCTATTATTCCATCTACTAAACAAGCTTTCTTATGACAATAAATATTCAAATCAGAGTTAACTTTTGGAATATTAAGTCACCGTTCACAAACTGTTTATTTAAGTTAGGCAGCTGATGAAATATGAGTGGAAGGTCACGGATACCGTGATGCTTATTTTGGAACAGTTGGATATTGTATGGAAGGTATATTTTTCAGTGACTAGATATATAATCTCTGACCACTGTGTGTCAATGGCTGAGGAAGAGCAACAACGGAAACTCAAAAGCTTGTTATCTTCTGAAATGTGACATTTCATGATTGTGAATTCTGGATATTTCATAAGGTCCCTATGCTTTGCAGACAATTCTGTAGTTCTCCGATGCAACTCCCAGGATCCCTCATCATTGGCTATACTAGCTTATTGGAGTTTCAAAGCCCTTAGAGGGTCACACATTCATCTCCGTTCTAATTAGATTTGATGGCTAATGGAGGTTAAAAAGTCACCTGGACCACAAGATGAGTGGCAAATAAATCTGATAGACAACTAGATAGATAATGCAAGATTGAGTGCAAGAATGCAAGAAAGACATTTCCTGTTAACATACATATAAACAGATTAATACTTATATCTAAGAAAACAGTACTCGCAAATCCAGTAAAGGGTTTAAGATTATACAATGTCTATAAACAATGTACTAGAAAACTAAATAATGTACAGATATCTGTTAGAAATCAGAAGTAAAAAATTAATCAAAATAAATACATTAATACTAATGTAATTCAAACACAGATTGTCACAGCTTTCTAAGAAATTCTTTTCAATCCAGAGAAGGTCATTTAAGCAAGGTCAAAATCATTGGATACATAGATTGAGGGCTCTGAGCTAACTTGAAAGAATACAACCAATTTAAAAAAAAACCAATGAGATTGTTTCACAGTAACTGCCTGTCATTTGATAATAGTGGGCCATAATGTTTATCATGGATTATAACAGTATGGTACGTGAGTCCAACCAATTGTGATTTATTCACTAATCCATAGGTAAGTTAACAGGGCGTTAGGGTGTAGGTAAACCAAAGGTATCTGTCCTTGCGGATTCCTAACTTTTCACTAGATCTGCATCAACTTTTTCAGTTAGAATTGTCAGAAATTCAATCTAGTCTTGAACCCATGTAACTTGCTACTGAATTAAGGTTCTTTTTAGTCATGCTTTATGATGATCATATAACCAAGTATTTTCTATCTGAAATGAATGTTTAGATTTCCATAAAAATTCAAATACTGGGCAATCTAAGGGATACACATTTTAAAATATATATTTGTCAGCTTTTTAAGATCAGGAAATAAAACTAAGGAACTCAAGCACTACTTTATTCTTGCAAGGTATAATTTCACATTTTTGGAAGCCTGAGTTTTTCTTTCTCCCCATCCTAACACCAAGGCTATCAAAGCAGGGAAATCCTTGAGGGTTCCCCCCACCCCCACTGCCTCCTCCCTTTCAGAACTGAGCTGATCTTCCTTCCTTCGAGGCTATCATCACATTCCTTCTACATTTGAAGAGTACAGGAGTGATGTGTATACAAGGGGCAATCTTGTCAAATGTTATGCATTGGGTTTTTCTTCATCTCCTCAGTTTTTGAAGACTGAAACGATTGAAACGTTTCTAAGTTTCATTTCTAAAGAAAAACTTCATCCAGTATTGAAGATCCAATAACTGGGGTTGGGAGATATTCTCCTTGAAAAGACGCCAAGATTTCATTTAAATTCAAAGACAATTTAAAAACTAAAGCAGTTTCAAAATATATCCGAGTAGAGAAAAAGTACTCAATACGAAGAACATAAAAGTTTAACTCACTACTCTCTATGACACCCATAAAGTTATACAGTATTCTTATACAACGGTTTGAGATACCGTGAGAGATTAGCGTGCTAGGCAGATTTCTTCTCATTTTTGCTGATTTATCTATTACTCTATAAACACCAACAAAGTGCATTAACTGCTGGGGAACCTGACCAGTGTAGGGTTTTACAAATGGCAGCGTTTTCAGTCAAGCAAGAGGCGACAGCAACGCTCCCACGTGCTCCTCTTCCCGACCGCCAAGCACAACTTTTGTCAGTGCTGGAAAGAAAACGTCCGCCCGGTTTTGCGCTTCTCCGGCAAGAAAGCCGATGGCGGTACGAGGCGCCAGCCACATGCTGCAATAATCGGGGGAGGAGAAGCAACAGCAGCAGCCCTGAATCGCAGCTAGGAGTGGCTTCCGCTGGAAAGCCCCACCACTAGGCCGGGCGAGCGGCGGGCTGGCGCCGCCTTTCCCTCTGGTGCTCGGCGCGCAACAGAGGGCCGAGAACAAGGAAAATTCTCCGGCGCTTCGCTTTCCCAAAGGCGGGCGAAAGCAGACGCATATCCTCAGCCATCCCCCCGGCCCCCGCTTCCAGCAATCAGCCACGCTGCTCCGCTCCCGCCCGGGACCCTTCCCGCCACCCCTCCGCTCGGCCTCCCGAGGCCTGGAGCCGTCGCAGCGCGCCCAGCTCTCGACTCCCGTTGCCGCGCAACAGAGATCGTCTCCCAGGGCCTACCCCGTTCCTTGCGCCTCCTAGCCTCGGGTCCAGCTCTTACCTGCGGCCAAACGGCTGGGGAGGTCTTGGAGGGCCGCTGCAGCAGAGAAGGGCCTGGCTGTTTTGCCGGCGCGGCCGCCGCCGCCTCTGCAGCAGCAACAAAGGACTTCCGCCCCCGGCCGCGCCTGCTGCCGCTGCTCTCTTACTGCAGAAGAAACTCAAGGCTTTGCCGCGACCGCACTCAGCCGGACCCCTCCCCCCGGCTGGCGGCCAGCAAGCGGCGCCTGGCCCTGCTTGCTGCGGCTGGTGCGGTGGTGGCCAATGTACAGGCACGACGCGGCCCGTCGCTCTTTTTGCCTGCCCTTTCCTAGGGACCATGGGGCAATCGGCCAGCCCTCGACGTATCGGCAGGAAGCAGCCCGGTGCCATCCCGCTGTCTCCAGGCTCGCATTCGTGCCGCCAAGACTGGAGGAGAGCGTGGTTTTTGGCGCCCAGGATGGTGCTTCTTCGCCTGGACCAGCAGTCAGGATTAGGGAAGGAGGATGCTTTCGTCGTTTGCGTCTTTCCCAGGAAAGGCTATTTACTCATATTTAGTTACAGCAAAGTGACGTTTCCCACGGTACTTCACTAATTCCACCATTTACTAAAAAATCTATTTTTGAGTTATACAAAAATATTGGGTCTGCATATTGAACGATTCGTTGATCTATAGTTCTCTTCACAAATCACGATCGGTTGGGATCAAGCAGAATGGTTGAGTATTACCGGTAATCATGTTTAACGAAGTTAAACGGAGTAAGCAAAACTACACTTCAGCCTATGGGAACTAGGTATCTTGATCCTGAATTTATTTCCTTCGAACTGAAAATGCTCAGGAGCCTCTCCCTTACTCTCATTTTCTGTAATAAATGTATATTCTGGCTCTTCAATATGTTGCTTTTGGTGGTGGTGGGGAATGTTCCTCCATCCCCTGTAAGAATAGGTAACTAATGGGCACTTTTAAAATGAATAACACAAATGTTGCATATAATGTTCTCTTTTTCTTATAAATCAAGCTAGCATATGCAATAATTTCATTTGATTTTACCCCCACAACCACTATGTGAACAAAGCTGGCCTGAGTAACTGACCTTCCTAAATAATTCTATGTACAAAACTTACTTTTTACAAAAAATATTTGGCACAACCATAGACACAGAATTCTCTGAAAGTGGGTCTCACTAATAGTGGGTGACTTTGCTACTAATGTTGCCCAATGCAGGTTTGAGACACATAGGAGAGTTGGGTGAAGTATGATTAAGGCATCAAACTAGAATCCAAGAGATTGTGAGTTCTAATCCAAAACAGGACATGAAGTCAGCTGGATGATAACTTTCAGCCCTAGGAAGGAAGCAATGGCAAACCACTTCTGAAAAACTTTGCCAAGAAAATTTCAGGGACTTGGTTCAGGCAGTCTCAAAAAAAATGGATTTGATTGAATAGGATTTATCTAATTATGCATGCATTGCAAATTTTGAAAGAAAGGGAATCTACAGAATCATTTCCAATCCAAAGCCTTACCAATCCCCTCTCCCATCTTTCCTCTAGTCCAGGGATTACCAAATTTGGAGACCCATTTTAAGAGGAGGGTCTCTTTAACATTTGTGGACTTCAACTCCCAGAATTTCTCAGCCAACAAAGTTTTAAATTTGCCAATTTTGCAGATCCCTGCTCTAGTCACCACAGCTGCCTTTTTCTGAGATTGGAAAGATCAGATTTTGAAGCAGATACCAAATCATTTTGGAGGAGGGCTACAGGAAGAGGGTCAATGATACAAAACACTCAAGGTCAAGTGAAAGGCATTTTGGGGTTTTTGGAGGCATTAGGGTGGGAGTCTCTTTTACTTCATAAAATCTTGTTTTATTGTTTTACACAACGTAATCTAGTATTTAATATTTATGGTTGACCAGGGTCTACATAAATTATTTCCCATATTGTCCCGGTTTCCATCCCTTTCTTAGTCCAAAATGTATTAGCTTATCACAATTTTCTGGGTTCATATAACATACTTAAATATATGGGATGTTTTTGCACAATATATTAGACTAAAATGCAGTTACCCTAGTTTGTGGTTCACCATTCCAATTCTTTCAGCAGGAGGAAAATAAATGATAAAAAACACAAAGTTGGAAGAACCTAAACTACCCCCATTCCACTCTTTCCAACAGTGCTGCCTAAATGCAATGCGCCCGCTTTGATATTATATTATCTGAATATCAAAACAAGTCATCTTCCTCTGTAATAGACATAAATTAGCCATTTCCCCCTTTGCAATCCATTTTTGCAGTCATCAGACTCTAGTAATAAAATAATTTTTTTCAGGAAGACATGTGAAACCCTTTTTATAAGATATTAGCTTAGTGTTGACGAACCTTTTCAGCACTGACTGCCAAAATGGGAGTGTGCGCACATGCATGGAGGAGTGCCGGAAACCGGAAGAACAGTTTCCTGGCGTGCACACCTAGGAGCGCCGGAAAGTGGAAGAGCAGCTCCCTGGCACACATGTGCATGGCCACAAGCTGAGCTTCCGGTTTCTGGTGGGCTCATGCGCACTGGTCACCTGGTCTTCTGGTACGCGAGGACCAGCTGATCATTGTGAAATCGGAAGCTCAGTTTCCCATTACGAGCATGCGTGCCAGGGAGCTCCTCTTCCAGTTTCTGGAGCTCCCGCATACTAAGACTAACTGGCCAGTGTGCACGTGTGCACCGGAACTTGGAAGAGCAACGAGGAAATGGTTGGTGGGCCTGGAGAGATGGCTCTGCATGCCACTTCCAGCATGCATGCCATAGGTTCGCCATCATAGTACTAGCTGATAGCCCGGCGTTGCCAGGCCCGGGTATTTATTTATAGGGGAAAATATCCAGACCAAAAGATAATTTCTAATGTTGGATTTTCCTCCTTACCAGAGGGAGCCCCCTTATACAGTACTGTAAAGCCGTTACCATGGCAACTCCACTACACTGTACAGTAGAAGCCATTTTATTAAGTTTGGTTAAAATTGCTCTAGGTGTTCCAGAGTTATGCTGGAACATATACATACACCCAACCATATATATATATTCGCACAAAACAAATTCCATTTTTTTCAAAAAAACATCTCTTCAATTGTCTATCTGTTAAAAAAATCTTGTCTACTTGTTTAAAATAAATCTAGTGAGATATACGTTTATGGAAACCATAATGGTTCCTTTTCAAGGCGGCTACAAGGCTATAATTTTGCTATTCATTAATATTTACCATTACAGTATTTCCTACAGCAGATACTATACTAACAATATATTTATTATCCTGATTACTTTTTGAATATTGGAATCAAATTGGCTGTTTTTCAGTCCTTGGAAACAAATCTTAAAATAAAAAAATACATATTTTTCTAGGGAAAAAAATAGGGAATACTATCTGAACTGGGAGATTTTTATTTTTGGTTGATTAACTTGGCTTATAATTTTTAATATTTTGCTACCTCCGATTTCATTCCCAATCAGTTTTATCTGATTCTCCACCTAAAAACTCAGGCTTAGCACAGATCTGTCCTAAACCTTTAATAATGAAAACAGAAGCATAGAATTCAATTCTGTTTACTTATCCTCCTGTAGCACTGTTAAAACCCCAGCCTGAGATTAGATGTTTTTAATCAATTACCTGTTCTAAATTACTTGAAAGGTTTCTGTTGTTTGTTTTAACGTTGTTTGCCAGGAGCTCTTCAAAGTCAAAGACATTTCTTCCCAAATATCTTAATTGCAGAAGCCAGTCTCCCTTGGATCATGTGCCAAAGTATAATCTGAGTCCAAATCAATTCCTTTGTTTCATCCCATTGTTCAATATCATAATGCTTAAATTTAAGCTACTTGTGTGTGTTTTGTTTGTCTACAGTACCTATTTCTCCACTGCCAAGACAGAGTTGACTCTTTTGGTTAAGCATATAATTGGAAAATAAGATTCTCTTTAAACAAGAGTGTACAGCATGATGCATTAGAGCTGAACTTCTTTCATGCAACATCTGAAACTCCATCCAAACACAATGATAAAGAAACATTATTTGTGTCATAAGACTAGGAACATTTGGAAATTATAATTACTAAAATGGGATGAAAAGACTTCCCTCTGAAACCAAGGAAGAATTTCTCACAAACTCCGTGGTTTGGCCCAAATGTGTCTCACAGCAGCCTGGCCTGGATAGAATAAAATAAATGATTAATTTAATTGTTAATTTTAATCTAATTTTTAAAATTTTATTGTTAATATTAATTGGGTTTGTTTTTGGATACTTTATTTAATTTCCTTTTTAAATTTTGTAATATGTTGTATGCCACCCTGAGTCCTTTGGGAGAAGGGTGGCATATAAATCCAACAAACAAACAAACAAACAAACAAACAAACAAA